TTCTTGAGGGGGGTCAATCCGAGATTTTTCGGATTGCTCCCATGCCTCCTTCTCTATGTTTCTTTACTTTTTATTCTCCTTTTGGTCTCCCTTTTTGCTCCTACTAGTGCTTGCACTAGTGCCAATATTCTTGGTCGTCAAGATCTTGATCTTGACGGTGCAACTTGCTTTAATTATTTTTCCCTCATGCCGCTTTGTAGTTCCTCTTGAGACCTTCTCACGTCCCCGCCACTTGTCCCGTGCTAGTTTTCGGCACTTGTCCCGCCCGATGGTCCCACCGGTACTTGTCCCACTGACGGTCCTTGACATTTTGTCCCGTCGGTAGGTCCCAACACTTTGTCCCGTCGGTGGTCCCCGACACCTTGTGCCTCTAGTGCTCCCCGGTCGTCAAGGCCCCCTTTTCGTATGGAATGGGCACCCCGTTGTGGCCCTTACTTTTTTGTGTCTTGCGGCCACCAGGGCCGTCCACCTTCCGGCTTCACTATTCTCTTGCCATCTGCCTCGCCCTGCTTGCTCAGTTCATGGCCCCTCGGGTCCTTGCCATGCCGAGTTCGAATGACCCTCCTGACCCCACGCTATGCTCTTATGCGCCCACGTCCTGTCACTCACTTGCTTGTCGTTGCCGGGTTTTTCATCCTGCGGTAATTAGCTCAGGTCACCATTCCTCCTGGCGGCCCTTGTCCTAGTCCTTTGTCTTTTCTCTCTCTCTCGTCTCCTTTCTCCGGATTTCTCTGTCGTGTACAACTTGGCTATATACAGGCTCTCGAGTGTTGGGACGTTATTCGGGACCCACAGGTCCCGACAACGTCTTCACGGGAGAACTGTGCCACGTGGCACTCTGATGAAATCAGACCTTGTCAGGCTTGTTGGTTGACGTGGAGGAGTGGGGAGGCCCGAAGAAGGAGAGGGGAACGAGGGGCTTCTATCTATGTGGTCATTGATGGATACCTACTCTTCCACCCTCTAAGTCTATTCTCCCCCTCCTCTCCTTCGTCCACCGGTTACGAGATATTGTATCAAAGATCACAGTTCATGATTATTGGAGACATTTTCAGCACTGAGTTATCTTCCACCCTCTAAGTCTATTCTCTCCCTCCTCTCCTTCGTCCACTGGTTACGAGTTCCTCCAGACTAGGTTCATTACAAGCTGGTCATTCAACCTGTCGGCACCTGACAGTCTGTGGTCGGTCAGCACCCTGCAATTTATTATTATTATTTTTTATTATTATTTTTTTAACACGCGCGCGGTCCATAACCCCCAATAACCCCACTAACACCCCCCGCCCCCCCACAAACACCCCCATACACCCCCAGACACCCCCCCAACACTCCCATACTGCCCCCCACACCCTCATTCCCCGCCCAATAACTCCCTATGCCCCCTCTACACTCCCCATAACCCCCCCGTCCCCAGAAGTTTCTCAGGAGATTCGGGCTGTAATCAGCAAGCACAGTACAGCCCCAAATTCAGATTTGGAAAAAAATCAACGGATGGCCCTCTATAGACTGGTCGGCAGACCACCGACCAGTCAGCCCTATTGGTTGGCTGCAAAGTGGTCGGCGGTCGGCATCGGCGGTTGGTGGGTATGCAACCCTGGTGTTCAGATTATAATAACAAGTCACAAGCGCCCGCGGCGATGCCGCGGCAGGGGGGGCGCTGGCATGAGAGAGAGAGAGAGAGAGAGAGAGAGAGAGAGAGAGAGAGAGAGAGAGAGAGAGA